TTATTGCAATCGACTGGTAGTCTCGAAACCCTACTCAATACTGCTTTTAATTCAATCTTGTCTCTTTGACGAGTTCGTAGCTTGGAGCGGAGAATGGCAAAGCTCACTGATGATGTCGACAATGATGCCGACGACACGTTTGAGAATGTACCAACTTCACTGTCTGATGCTGGGAATCATGACAACTACTATGGCAGACGACTTCGGACTCGGTGCGACAGGTGGTCGCCCTGACAACAAGACCAAGTTGCGACAAGGAGGCCAACCCACTTCTATAAATCGCAAGGAGACTGCGACCATACCAGAGGCCACAACATCTTAATCTTCATATCTTCAATTTAACTGCAGAGTTTCCAAATGCCATGCATCCCTCTTGGATTCAGGTACAGTATGCTTTGACCTTCGAGAAGAAAACTAGCATAAACGTGCCTAAGGTTAGCCTTGAATGCAAGTAAGTATGAGAACACAAAAGTCCAAGTAATTAGATAAAAATAGAATCTCACTGACAAAAAATGTGAATAGGTCCTGGGTAAATCGGTATATATTAACTTTAAAGTGAATTTGGGAAAAAAATGGAAAGATCCTACTTGCGAGTTAGTAGAAAGTGAATAGGTTAACTTGGCAAGTATTACCAAAACAAGACTAGGGAGATTTCTAAAAAATAAGTGAATATTGAAGCATACCAATTTGTGACAAGGGTTCACAAATTTGGGCCAATTTCCAGTCCAAATGACGCAATTTGTCTCGCTTTTCCGATGGTTCGTTTACATTTTGACACATACTGTTCAGAATCAATTCACTGTATGTGAACTTTGAGGCAGCTTTCACAAGACGCTGGTCGAAAGGAGGAAATTGACCGAATACTGGTTCTGCGTGGATTTGTTCCTATTTTTGCTCCTTCCCTCAGAAACGGCAAGCAGATCGTCTGCGGACGAGTTTCTCACGTCGAAAGGATTCGTCGTCTGTTCCGACGTCAGTTGACCCAAGTCCGCTGAACTCAGCAACTCAGAAATTTGGCTTGATCTGGCAGTACTTTGACATTCCAACGACCTGTCGATGAGGGTTGAGTTCATTTGGAACGGAAGAGGTATAGCTTCGGGCGATGAGATTGCGAGCTTATTCTCGTCGAACAAGTTGGTGCAGAGTGTAGCCTGGCTGGGGTCCGGACAACTCCAGGAGGCCGGATTGGGTGGTTTGATCGCCTCCCACGACCACGAGTCGGGAGGCCCGTATCGGTCGGGACCCAAACTGTCCAGAGCTGGTGGTAGTGGAGGGGTACTTGGAGCATTGGTCTGCGAGAAGAGCCAAGAGCTTGGCAGCGAATTGTAGAGGAAGCTGAGTGTGGCCAGCATGTTGGTTTCGTACATTTTCAAGGGGGCTGGAGCGAGCTGAGGCTGGCCGAACCGAGGGACTGAGGCCGGCTGGTAGGGGCGAATGGAAAAGAACATGCCAGAAGGGAAATTGTGTAAGTGGGTTGAAAAGACGAGGAAAACTGGATTATGTCAAAATGGTGCTTGACATCACTTGGCTACACGTCGTCCTATAAGGTTGATTTGCATTTACTTTGCTGTAGCTTAGTGCTGAGAATGTACCAAGTCTGCGGTCTGGCGCTTGGTGTGATGATGACTACTATGGCAGAGCACTTGGGACAAGGTGTCTCAAACTGAATCGTCATGACAACAAGACCATCTTGCGAAAGCGGAGTCAACCCACTTCTATACATCGACAGGAGACTTTGAATATTCCGAGGGCCATACAGGATGTTGGCTAAAATTGGCCACTGTCTGGAGGTAAGCGAGGTTATGATTGAATATATGAAGACCAAGATGTTGTGGCCTCTGGTGTGGTCGCAGTCTCCTTTCGATTGATAG